CTTCCCGACCCAGGAATTGAACCAGGGTCTCCCGCATTGCAGGCAGATTCTTTACCAACTGAGCTATGAGGGAAGCCCAATAAACAAGTTGAATTCAATTAAATTAAATACACTCTGCCTCTGAGTGTAGACAGGTTTGGAGAAATAGCTGTGCAGAAATCAGTCACAACCCATCTGAAGAGCCGGTCCCTTACCATTTAATGAACAAGTTGAATTCAATTAAATGGTAAGGGACTGGCTCTTCAGATGGCTTGTCTGATTTCCGCACAGCTGTTTCTCCAGAACTGTCTACACTCAGAGGCAGGGGCTTCAAGCAGCCCATGTGTGTTTCTCACCTCCTTTCAGCTCTTAGCACGCTCCTGAATGCTGGGTGGCCATGTCACTGATCGTTATGGTCTCTGCTTCAGGAACTGACTGCTTCCTTCTTTAGTATCTTTAAAACCCTAATCAATCAAAAAACTAAATTAAAGACTCAAACCCAACAGCTAAATGCATTTTTTTGCTTGGGAAAGCCCAGTGTTCAGTAGAAGACTACCCTGAGCAAAGGCATCTGCCCACCCCCCCCACCCCCCCCACCCCCTCCAACCTTTCTTTTTAGCCAAAGAACAAGTATTCTGATGCATCTCAGAAGTCATTGGACCTATTTCCTGCTAAAAGGTGACAAACCAACAAGAACATAATCGTTAATCACCCCCCAACTCTTCATTGCAAATAAACAGGACTACTTTGGACAATTTAGATGGTCCACAATCGCCTCCAAAATTTGGTATGGATTATGTCAGACTAAATCCTCACTTTTGCACAGGGCTTCACAGTTTATATAGAGCTTTATGGCTTTCATGGGCTTCCCTGGTGGCTCAGTGGTAAACAGTCTACCTGCCAATGCAGGAGACCCAGGTTTGATCCCTGGGTCAGGAAGATCCCCTGGAGGAGGAAATGGCAATCCACTACAGTGTTCTTGCCTGGGAAACCCCATGGACAGAGGAGCCTGGTGGGCTACACTCCATGGGATCACAGAGAGTCGGCCACTACTGAGCAACTGACTGAGCACACACACTCATGCATAGTTTGCATGGAGTCTGTAGTTTGCCCTCTTAAGTGCATTATTTTCTTTTTGAGCCCCATAATAGGCCACTGGGCAAGCATCACCTTTCTTCTGATTACTGTAGATACCTGCTCAACTTGTTCAATGTCCACCCTTTTCTTTTAAATTGAGGCATACTTAACATCTGATAAAAAGCACAAGTCTCAGTTGTTCACTTTGGCATGTTTTGACAGTTTTACACGCTGTGTAACCGCCAGCTACAAATGGACACAAAACATTTCCATCACCCCAGCACATTTCCTCACTTTTCTTTCCAATTGCCCTCTCCCCCCAGCAACCGCTTTCTGATTTCTATCACTACAACTTTTGTTTTTTGATATGTGAGTTTCATTCCATATGAATGGAATCACACAGTATATGCATGAATTATCCATGCTGTGTATATCAGGAGAGTCTACATTTGTATTGCCAAGTAGTAATCATTGTATAAATACATCACAGTTTGCTTTTGAAATCATCTTTTGATAGAAATTTGTGAAGTTTGGGGGGGGTGCATACTTTTTGCTTTTACAGATATGGCTGCTATAAAAATTCTTGTACAAATACTTTTGTGAACATATGTTTTCATTTAACTTGGATAAATACCTAAGAATGAAATTACTGGGTCATAGGGTAGATGTATGTTTAACTTTATAAAAAAAGCACCAAATATTTCTCCAAAGTGGTTTGTCAGATATATGGCTTGTCAACATCCACTTGGCTTCCTCCAGTCATTTCTCCTTGTAGACTCCATAGCAATCTATTCAAAACATAACCTTGATCCCATCACTTTCCTGCTGAAACCCTTTCAATGGTTCTCCACTGTTCTTTGGATGGAGTCCACATTTTTAGACACAGCGTGCATAGCTGGGCCCCTCGCTTGCATCAGCTACTGCTTCCTGTCTCCCTGCCCCCTTGTATCTGCGTTCCAGTCTCTTTCCCTGTGAAGTTTTTCCCTCTTCTGTTCCTGGATGACCCCTGTTCATCCACTGGACCCTCTGCCTATTTATCCTTCAAGTTTCAACTTATGGCTTACTTCCTCAGGGGCTTCCTCTGGAGACGAGGTCAGGTCACACGTTACCTACTCCTGTCATACCCGGGTCTTCTCCTTCTTAACATTCATTGCGCTGTTGTTATTTTTAAATTGCATATATGTCTTTCAATTTTTGAATAGGTCATACATTCATATGGTTCAAAAATTCTCAAAAGATGTTCATTGAGAAGTTTTAGGCCCACCCCTGTTCCATTTTGCCTGGCTTCCCACCTACCTAAAAAAAAAAAACACCAAAAAACTCCCTTAAATCCCTTTCCAGAGGGACTTCCCTGGGTAAGAATTCACCTCCTAATGCAGGGGATGCGGTTTTTGATCGCTGGTCAGTGAACTAAGATCCCACGTGTCTCAGGGCAAACTAAGGCCACGTGTCACAGCTAGTGAAGCCTGTGCGCCACAGTGCAGGGCCTGCACAATGACAGAAAGCTTCCTCTCCAAACATGCCTATGTGAGATTTCTCACACATATGCACGGTACTAATTATAGTATTACTCTTTCTCATATTACTGCACCAACTTATTATATTACTATATTAGTGTATATACTAATATAAAGATATATACTAATTATATTATATATTATATATCTGTATATAATATATATGTATATATAAATGTAATATAAATATATACTAATATAATAAATTTATACAGTAATAGTACAAAGAGTAATACTAATAATTAGTATAGTGCGTATGTGTATGAAAGTCAAAGTCAGTCAGTTGTGTCCAACTCTTTGTGACACCATGAACTATACAGTCCATGGAATTCTCCAGGCCAGAGTGGGTAGCCATTCCCTTCTCCAGGGGATCTTTATGTGTAAAATTTCATAAAGGCATTTTCTGGAGAGGAATTTTTTTGGCTATATTATTTATATATATGTATACTAATATAATTAGTATATATACTAACATAATAAATTGATATAATAATAGTAGAAACAGTAATATTAGAAAGAGTAATACTAAAAATTAGTATAGTGCATATGTGTATAAAATCTCATATAGACATTTTATAGAGAGGATTTTTTTTGGCTGTATAGTATACATATACTATATATATATACTAATATAATAAATTGATACAGTGATATACAAAAAAATTAGTGCATATGTGTGTAAAATCTCATATAGGCATTTTCTGGAGAGGAATTTTTTTTACTGTATTATGTATATATACTAATTATAAGTAGTATATATGCTTAATATAATTAATATATATAGTAATATAATAAATTGATACAGTAATATTGGAGTAATATAATAATTAGTATAGTGTAAATGTGTGTAACCTCTCATACAGGCATCTTCTGGAAAGGATTTTTTTGGTTGTGCAGGCTGCTCGTTGAACAACTATCCTATCATCAGTCTCACTTTAGTGCACTCCACACGTCATCCTGCACTTTGCTTTTTTCACTTAGCAATATGTCTTGGTAAGTTTCCTTTTCAGAACTTCGAAAGTTCGCTCATTCTTTATCACTTCTCCCTGACGTTCCATCTAGGGCTGGTCTGTCCCTTAAGCCTGATGCTCCGTCTAGGGCTGATCCAGGCCCATCCGAATAGCCATTTCAGTTATTTTTCATCTTTTGCTAATCAATGTTGTAGTGATAACAATCATATATGTATGTTACTTTCTTGTGAATGTTAGAACACTCAAAGGATAATTTCTTAGGAACAAATTGCTGGTACAAAAGGTTTGAGTTTGTATAACACTTGAACAGATTTTGGCAAATTGCCTTCCACGGGGTTGTATCACTTTATGCACCCACCCACAGTGAATCAGAAAGCCTGTTTGCCCTTGACCTTGCTATATTTGTTGCAGAATGTTCTGCAGGCGATCTGGCAATCTGAGAACAGAAAAATATCATCTTGGTATAGTTTGTTTTAGTTTGCATTTCTTACTTGAGAAACTAAGCATCTGGTAGGATTTATTGTATTTTTAATTACATAGCACAGTGCCTGGCAATATGTCTATTGATATATCTATCAACACAATAAGAAACATGTATTGTCTATTAATATATATGATGTATGCTAAATGTGTATATCTTATTTATTAATATATATTAAGCATATGTACTGTATACAAGTATATGTAATTGTTGAAGGGATGAAAGATTGAATGATGCTCAAAGAGCTTAGGATCAAATGATTCAGGACACACAGCTCGTAAGTGAGGATTTTCTAGCACTGAGTAGAGTATGATTTCTTTTTTAAAAAATATTTTTAAAAACTAATGTACTTATTTTAATTAGAGGCTAATTACTTTACAATATTGTAGTGGTTTTGCCATACACTGACATGGATCAGCCATGGGTGTACCTGTGTCCCCATCCTGAACCCCCCTCCCACCTCCCTCCCCATCCCATCCCTCAGGGACGTCCCAGTGCACCAGCTTTGAGTGCCCTGTCTCATGCATCAAACCTGGACTGGTGATCTATTTCACAGATGGTAATATACATGTTTCAGTGCTGTTCTCTCAAATCATCCCACCCTTGCCTTCTCCCACAGAGTCCAACAGTCTGTTCTTTACATCTGTGTCTCTTTTGCTGTCTTGCATATAGGGTCATCGTTCCCACCTTTCTAAATTCCAGGTATATGTGTTAATATACATACAGTATGATTTCTATCAGCATATGCAGCCCCACATTTTTAGGGTGGTCCACAGGGAGAAAGGAAAAGGAGAGGCTATTAAAGGGCAGAAGGTAAAAATCTTGGCTCTGCTTTGCTCAGTGTTACTGTTGAAGTCATTTATAAGATGCCGAGTATACTGTTTAATAGGGCATGCAACGCACTCAGTATTCTTGCCTGGAAAATCGCATAGACAGAGGATCCTGGTGGGCTACGGTCTAGGGGGCCGCAGAGAGTCAGACACAACTGGGGCGGAGCTGGATGAGGAGGACCCTGCTGAATGCCAGCTGGAGCGCACCCAGCTCAGGGGTGGCTTCCAGGCCCCCATCACTGCGTTCAGTGACGAGCGTGGCGGGGAGGGTGGGCTGGCCTGGGTTGTGACTCAGCTCTGATGGCAGCTGTGAGACTGTCGTCCCCTCCGATGCACCTTCCTGCTGGGGGAAAGGAGATGACAAGAGAAACCTCGAGGGTTCTGCAGGCTCTCATTCTCTGCTTCCAGTGACTCCGCTTCCTGTTTGTACCTTGTGACTCCAGGCCCCTGGGAGAGATGCTTGGGCCCAGGGTGGGTCGGCCCAAGTGAGGGCCTTCAGAATCTCAAAAGAATCTGGGCCTAGGATCCAGTGTGTGTGGGGGGGCGGGGAGTGCATGCTCAGCCACTCAGCTGTGGATCTTTGTGACCCTGTGGACTGTTGCCTCCAGGCTCCTCTGAGGTTACAGCCGAGGAAGAGAAACGCGTCAGCCTTTGCTGATGACCTCGGCTCTGCCTGGCAAAGCTGAACCCTGTAACAGGACGGACTTTGTAAGCAGTCCTGAGCAGTTAGAGGTCACTCCACGCAGATGGAGACAGGGAAGCTGGGGGCTTTCTGAGGGCCGCCAAAGAAGAAAGAGTGGCTGATTGGTGAATTCCTGGTACTTTTCTCAAATTCACCGAAGACGGAGTGTAAGCCGAAAGGGGGTTCTTTTGCTTGGACGCAAGGAGGGTCACCCCAACACAGACGTGCGGGGCCAGGAGATGGTGCTCCTTGGAGAGGGAGCCCCATTTTCTGAGCTCTAGCTACCCAGCTTCTGTGTCTCATCTCTTCTGAAACCCAGTCACACTTCTTGGTCTCAAGTGTTCTCAGGACACTCACAATGATGTGTCCACCTTTATTTAAATTTTTCCATGTGGGACCTGTTCTGGTGCCCAACATCCTTTACACTCAGAGTCACACAATTGTTGTGAGTTTTAAGTAAAGAAATGAGACTACCAACAAGGACCTACTGTGTAGCTCAGGGAAACTCTGCTCAATATTCTGTAATAACCTGAATTGAAAAATTTTGCTACACACATGAAACTAACACAACGTTGTTAATCAACCATGCTCCAATACAAGATAAAGATTAAAACAAAATTAGGATATCAGAAAAATTAAATTATATAAACTTACAATTAAATGAAGGGTAACAAAAAATTATCTGTAGAATTTAATTCAAATGAAAATTCTGATAGGATTTTTTGAAGGTACATAGAAACTCATTCTGAAAAATGTGAAAGGAAGGAAGAAGGAAAGGAATATAGGGCACCTAATGAGATGGAATATATATATATATATATATATATATATATTTTTTTTTTTTTCCCCCAGTGGAAGAAGGGATGGGGATGAGCCTGTTAGTCAACTCATTTCCTGTTTGAACAGGACACAGAGCAAACCCATTTCTACTTGAAGGTCAGACAGCTTCCCAAAGCAGTATATTTGCTCTGACAGCGTTGCTGAAGGCATATCTGTCACAGGCTGGGGAGACAGAGGGATACATACTTGGGTAGGAATTCGGGCTCCAACTCCTACAAAAGTCATTACTTCCGTGAGTCTGAGTTTACTCAACCATAAACAAAAATTTGTGTGGCTGCTATAAGCACTATGTGCCCTTATACAGAGTGAGCTCAGTGAATGGTAGGTAAGTATTCCTGTAATATCTTCCCAAGAAGAGTTAGGAGAACTCCATTCTGATGGGAAGAGCTACTTGCCTGATGATGCTTCCCTTTTAACCCAGAGTCCAGAATCAAGTTTACAACATTACCATGGCAACCTTGTTACCCATGAAGGTTGTGATCTTGCAAACCCCTTTTCCTAACTCTAGTTCTGAAGCCTATCAGACAATGAGAAGAACTTATCAGCCTGACCAGACCAGGGGATGTGTATATATGTGCGCGCACGCGCACACACACACACACACACACACACACACACATACACACACACAAGCTTCGAACAGCTATTTTTCAGGGCAATTCCCACTTGGGTCATCTACTGCCAAGAGAAAAATGTAAATCACTTTTCAGTCCAGCATCCAGCGGCCCCACAAACCAGTCCAAGAAAAATTCAATCTTGGTTGACATAACAGAACCCGGGCAGCCAGCCAGCAAACTTTTGTTTGGTGTTTTTAAGACAAATTAAGAGAAATGCAACGTGCTCTTCGTCAAGTGATGTCTGTGGTGATGAAGAGCGGCCCCACAGGGCTAGGGTTTGATCCCAGCAAAGGACAGGGGTAATTTGGTGGGTTGGGCTAAGGGAGGACCTTCGAGGGGTAAACTCCCCTGGGTGACTTAAAGGCTGCAGAAATCGTGAAGGAGGGAAACACTAAGAACCTCAGCACCCAAGAGGTTGGTTCTAAACATGTCCCAGATCCGAAGCTGCTGAGCGTGGAGTAGGAGTGGGAAGCTGAGAGTAGAGCGAAGCTGGAGGATGAGGTGCGGTCAGTTCACAAAAGGGTGTGAGTTTGAACCTTCCCCCTCGAGGCTGTGGGAGCCCTTGGAACCGATTGAAGCAATATTGTCTTTCCCACTCTGCAGCTAAGTCCTGATGGAACTGGGAGTCAGGAGCTTTCTCATGGCTCATGTGATTATTATAACAACACTTGGAGGTAGACCTCATCACTTTTCTTTTCCGGTTGAGTTAACGGAGACTGGGAAAGTAACTAAACTGCCCAGGATTCCCCAGCTAGATGGAGCCAATACTTGAAGTCCAAGAGCCTCCAGGCCCAGTCATTGAATTTTCCAGTTTGGCCCCAAAGCAAGGACAATATCTAATTTATGCATCTTTGTTTTTCCTACCCCTGCCTGCCTGGTCCCAGCTCTCCAAAATTCAGTTGACTTTGGGAGGTTGAAAAGTCAAACATGACCTCGCCTTTGTTCCCCGAATCCAGCAGGCCCTGGGAATGGCTGCAGGAGCTGGCAAAACAAGGGCCCTGGGAGGCCAGCGCACATTCCCTTTCCCTTTCCCTGTCCCTTCTCAAGGGGAGAGGAATTTTGCCTGTGGGAGCGGTCTCAGGTGCCTCCTTAAAGCATTCCTGCATCTAAAGCAGGTGCTGGTCAATGTTTCACCCCCAGCCTCCCTCCCAGCCAGATCTTCTGCAGCTGGTGAACAATTAACCTCCAGCGGCTCTCGGACTTCTCTTCTGAAAAGCCTTCCCACACTTTGCTGTGCTCCTTGCTCGCTCAGTCGCTCAGTTGCGTCTGACTCTTTGTGACCCCATGAACTGGGACCCACCAGGCTCTTATGTCCATGGGGTATTTTAGGCAAGGATTCTGGAGTGGGTCACCACTTCCTCCTCAGGGGATCTTCCCGACCCAGGGGTCGAACCCACATCTCCTGCATTGCAGGGAGTGTCTTTACTTGCTGAGCCATCTGGGAACTGCTGGGTGTCAAGGATCTACCAAACCCCTCCGGTCTCCAAGGAGCCTCTTGTATCCATTTTTATACTGACTCTGATGATACACGATTCATCCAAACAAGGAAATAGCTCTTAGGGGACCACTGAGCCAAAGCACCCACACTCAACACTTGGATTACATTTTCTGCTGAAAATTCTTAGAAAGAACCAGAGAAGAGGGGCAGAGAATCTAGCTGAGCTCTGCCACCTAGCAGTCAGCTCACCTTAGCCAGTGGTCCTCACCCGTGCGGGTTTTCTCATCTTCATGTACTGAATGAGGAGAATCATTCTTTCCTCTTCCATTTAGTATACAGAGTAAACATCCATGTAAAACTGGTCGGCCCATGTGCATGTGTTAGTTGCTCAGTTGTGTCCGACTCTTTGCGACCCCATGGTCAGTCCGTGGAATTCTCCAGGCAAGAACACTGGAGTGGGTAGCCTATCCCATCTCCAGGGGATCTTCCCGACCCAGGAGGGATTGAACCTGGGCCTCCTGCATGGCAGGCAAATTCTTTGCCGTCTGAGCTACCAGGGAAGCCCGTAGTAGAAATTTAATAAGTATTCATACCTAGGAAACTGTAGCTTAAAGTTTGTAAAAGCATAGACTTCTGGAACTGAAAAGCCCCTGACAGAGCTTGTGCATCTGTTACAAATGAGGGCGCCCAGAGAGAGAATTCGGGGCTGTATCTATCAATCTCTCAGCCAGTCCATGCTCTATATCTAGTTCAGCTTTGTCTAGTAGAAATACAATGCATAAGCCATACATGTAATTTTAAACATTTTTTTAGTAATCACATTTAAAAAGTAGAAGGAAACAGGTGAAATTAACATATTTTATTTAATCCAATTTAGACAATATCCCTTTCGTGGATCACAGCCTTATTGTGGTGAAGGGGCTTGAGTAACTCAATGAAGCTATGAGCCATGCCGTAGAGGGCCACCCAAGATGGACGGGTCATAGTGGAGAGTTCTGATGAAACGTGGTCCACCGGAGAAGGGGAAGGGGCAGCAGAGGGTGAGGTGGTTGGATGGCATCACTGACTCAATGGACATGGACTTGAGCAAACTCCAGGAGACAGTGAAGGACAGGGAAGCCTGGTGGGCTGCAGTTCATGGGGTTGCAAAGAGTCAGACATGACTTAGAGACTGAACAACAACAATGACTATATATTTTTCATGTGATCAACAAAAAAAGTATAAGCAAATTATATTTGTTGTACCAAATCGTCACTATCTGGTGTGTGTTTTACACTTAGAGCACAGCTGACATAGACTAGTCACACTTCAAGTGCTTAACAGTCACGTGTGGCCAGCAGCTACCGCAGGGACAGGGCGGTTTCATTCAATGTGAGTCAGTGAGCGTTCTGTGCATCTGCTGTGTTCCAGGCACTCTCTGGATGCAGGGATATGAAGGTGGAGAAACACAGCAGAGGATGAAGTGGACAGCCTTGGAAACCAGAAACCATAAGCCAAGGTCGGGAGTCCCTCCCCAGCTAGGCTGCTGGATCATGCATTTGTATGTTTGGTTGGGCAAGTCAAGAAGAAAATTCTCCAGGGATAATATCTGTATCTTGAGGGCATTTTCCTCTACTCCAGTACTGGGGATAGCAAAGTATTTGCTCCAGACTGCTGTTATGTTCTAGGCATTGTGTTCTGCGTTCAACAGGTATTGTCTGATTTATTCCTCAGTGTGACTACACAGGGACTTTATTTTGTTCATTTTAAAGAAGAGGAAGTAAAGGCTCAGAGAGCCCGAGTATTTCATGCAAAAGTCATATCCGAGGCGGAGCTGTGACTCTGTCACAGAAAGCAGGCATGATTAACTTGGTCAGTGCTACTTATGGAGATGTGAGCAAGGTGAATGAATATTCCTTGGACATGATGATTTTGGCCTTTTTAGAAACATTCCTGGTAGAGCAGTGGATAAAAATCTGCCTGCCAATGCAGGGAACACGGGTTCGATCCCTGGTCCGGGAAGATCCCACATGCCACAGAACAGCTAAGCCCACAGCTACTGAGCTTGCGCTCTAGAGCCTGGGACCTCAGCTGCTGAGTCCATGCCACAGCTACTGAAGCCTGCGTGCTCTAGGGCCCGAGAGCCACAGTCCTGTGCCCACGTGCTGCAGCTCCTGAAATCTGTGGCCCTAGAGACCATGCTCTGCAACTAGAGAACCCACCACAATGAGAAGCCTGCGCAATGCAACTAGAAAGCACTCCCCACTCTCCACAGCCGGAGCAAGGCTGCACGCAGCAACAAAGACCCAGAGTGGCCAAAAATAAATAAATAAAAATAAACAAATATGGCAGTGTATGCATATAAAACAAAAATAGCTAAATAAAAGAAGCATTCCTAAAGTTTCCTGAATAAAGTGACCAGAGGTTTATTTTAATACCTTTCCATCCCTGGTGACCAAAGTTCCCACTGCCTGAGGCAGAGAGGAAGACATTCCACCACTCAGTTCCCCGGCTGTTGGGAGCTGCTGTGTGCCTCTGAGGCCTCAGGGTTTTTTTTTTTTTCTTTTCTTTTTATTGTTGTTGTTTTAAAAATCTTATTGGATAGTTGATTTGCAATGTTGTGTGAGTTTCAAGTGTACAGCAAAGTGATTCAGTTATATGTAAATACCCATTCAGTCTTTTTCCAATTCTTTTCTCGTCTAGGTTATCACAGAATATTGAGTATAGTTCTGTGTGCTGTATGGTAGGTCCTGGTTGGTTACCTATCTTGTGTGTAGTAGTGTGTGTGTCTTCATCCCAAGTTCCTTACTTATCCCTCCCTTCCACCACATTTCCCCTTTGGCAATCATAAATTTGTTTTCAATATCTTTAAGTCTGTTTCTGCTTTGTAAATAAGTTCATTTGTATCATTTAAAAAAATCAGATTCTACATATGAGTGAAATCATGTGGTGTTTGTCTTTCTCTGACAATTCACTTCGTATGATAATCCCTAGGTCCATCCATGTTGCTGCAAATGGCATTATTTTGTTCTTTTTTATGGCCAAGTATTATTCCATTATATATATGTAGCACATCTTTATCCATTCCTCTGTCCACGGACATTTAGGCTGCTTTCATGTCTTAGTTATTGTACATAGTGCTACAACGGACACTGAGATGCATGTATCTTTTCTAATTATGGTTATCTCTGGATATATGCTGAGGAGTGGGATTGCTGGATCATATGGTAGCTCTATTTTTAGTTTTTAAAAGAATCTCCACACTGTTGTCCATAGTGGCTGTACCAATTTACATTCCCACCAACAACGTAAGAGGGTTCCTTTTTCTCCACATCCGGTTCAGCATTTATCATTTGTAGCTTTTTTGATGATGGCGATCTGACCTGTATGAGGTGATACTTGACTGTAGTTTTGATTTCCATTTCTCTGATAACTAGTGATGATGAGCATCTTTTCATGTGATTTTGGGCCATCTATGTGTCTTCTTTTGAGAAATGTCTATTTAGATCTTCTGTTCATTTTTTTTGCTTGGGTTGTTTATTTTTTTTGACATATAGCTGCACGAGCCATGTATATTTTGGAAATTAATCCCGTGTTGGTTGCTTCATTTGCAATTATTTTCTCCCATTCTGTGGGCTGTCTTTTCATTTTGTTTATGCTTTCCTTCGCTGTGCAGAAGCTGTTGAGGTCAATTAGGTCAGAGACCTCAAGTTGAAATGTATCTCAACCTCAAGTTCACCTCAAGGAGAGTTTACCTTGTTTCTCTAAACTGAGCATATTGCCCAAAGCTTCCCTGAGGTGGTGAGGGGCCCAGCCCGGGGGAGTTTTCATTTTCCATAGCCTGGACCATTCTGCTTTCAGCTCCTGCTGATTTGGGAATTGTCTGAACTGATAGAAAGCACCCAGAACGTGAACATCCACCAAACTAGAACACAAGCTTCTGCAGCTCCAATAGCTCCTGAAAGAATAGCCACGGCCATAAAGGCCACAGATGAAGAGGTCTGTGAACCTGGAATAATCAAGGAGAATGAAGATGGGGAAATCTCCCTAGAGGAAAGTAGACAGTGTGTATTGTGGGGAAAGGGTGATACTATGCATCAAAAAACAATTCAAAATTGGATCACATCCAGAAACACAGAGCATATGAAACCCTGTGACAGTCACCTGGATGGACTTGAACTGGATTGACTAAAGTACTTTAAAAAAAAAAATCAATAACACATTTATTCTGTCATTTAAAATAGCTTTGTTTACTTATATTTCATTAATTCAACAAATACTTTTTGGGTACCCTCTAGGTGCTGGATCTGCATATATGGTGCAGAGGGAATGGAGGGGAGGCAGACATAAGGAAGGAAAATGCCAGGGGAGGCCGCCTGACCTTCGGGTAGCATTTAAGCTGAGGCCCTGCGCATTGGGCTTCCCTGGTGACAGTGGTGAAAGAATCCACCTGCAAAGCAGGAGATCAGCTGCAATGCGGGAGACACTGGTTCGATCCCTGGGTCAGGAAGATCTCCTGGAGAAGGAAACCATTCCAATATTCTTGCCTGGGAAACCCTACGGACAGAGGAGCCTGGTGAGCTACGGTCCGTGGGGTCGCAAAGAATCGGACACAACTTACCAACTAAAGCACCACCACCACCTGCTAGTTGAGAAGTCTGGATTTCAGAATTCAGGTTTAGGCTTACAAATCTAGGAGCTGATACATGACACTTAAAACCAGGAGAATAAAGGAGAGGCCCTAGACAGAAAAAAGAGAACAGGAAATCCAAGTCGAGTTACTAAGAAATTTGACATTTCAGGTTGGGTGGAATAGGAGGAGCTGACAAGGGAACTCAGAAAGAAGCAGACCGAGAGCTTGGAGGCCAGCTAGGAGTGGGGGGCTCATGGGAGCCAAGAGAGAGCTTCAGGAAGGGAAGGGCGCCTCCCGTGGCACCTGCAGCTGGGAGCGAGACAACGGGACGACAACCGCGGCAATAGAAAGGGTCCCTGGGATGAGGGGTCACGGTGCCCTTGGTTACCGTTGAGGGGCGGGGCCAAGTCAGGGTGGGGTGGGGCTGACTGCGAAATGCGGGGGTGAGGCCAGGGCATGAAATGCGCTCTTCTGGAAAGTCTGGCCAAAAATAGGAAGCCAAGGAATTGAGTGATATGTAGAAGGGGAACTGCTTGGATCCAGAACGTCTTGGTTTTGATGTTCAGACAGAACCTGCCCGCCTTCACCGTGTTTCCTCTTCTGGGGTTCCTCTTCTGGTAGATTCCTGCTCATTCTGCGCGATTCAGATTCAAGTGTCCTGTGTTCTGTCTGACGTTTACTGTGGGGCCGGTTAGATGTCTGTTTCTGGGCCCTGGGCCGTTCCGTGCACACTTTGACTTAAGGCCTGCATCTTACCGCGTGTGGTGGAGGGCCGTAAACTTGGACAAAAGCAGGGACTGTGCCTTCTCGATTGTATCAGTGCGGGTAGTTGCTCAGAACTTGACTCCGGGACGAGGCTAATTAAATGGCTGATGTATAAGTAAAAGAATGACTAAATTGTCAGTTTGAAGGCAGTTTGAGGGGCAATTTTATTTCATGGATGGGAATACAGAAGCACAGAGCAACTTGGAGTTGGGTTATTTCAGGAATTAGGCTCCCCCGTGGCTCAGATGGTAAAGAGTCTTCCTGCAGTGCGGGTTAGATTTCTGGGCTGGGAAGATCCCCTGGAGAAGGGAACGGCAACCCACTCCAGTATTCTTGCCTGGGAAATCCCATGGACAGAGGAGCCTGGCGGGCTACAGTCCATGAGGTCGCTTAGGAGGAGCCCTGAGAACCCCGAATCTCCGCTCCTGCCAGATGAGCTCCCTAGAGCTGCACTGTCAGCCCCATAAGGTACCTGGGGGTGAAACCCGCGCGTGCGCATCAAGTCTCAAGCTTCACCCCCAGAGGCACAGACCTTCTTCTCTGAGTGGGTGGGCTGGGGAGGGGGCTCGGCTTTCTGCCGATGAGCGTCCCGGGCTGTGGGCTGGGAAAACGGAACCGAAGCCAAGGGGTACCACAAGATGTCACTGTTGATCCTCAAACATAAACGGATCCAGGGGCAGGGACTTTAGAAACACTTCAAAAACACTTACTTTGCAGATGAAGAAACTGAGGCAGGGAGAGGTAACACGATTTAACTACGATCATGTAACATGCTAGTTACACGTGCAGAGCACTTAGGAGAATTCAAGTCCCTTACCTTTTGGACCAGCAGGACCGCCTGCCTCCACAACCCTCCAGCGACGCTCGGAGAGCAGGACCGACCTGTTTCTACAATCATTCCCTCAAGACAAAAGCTCTAATTTGGAAACAGAATAGAGGGGAAAAATGGAGGAAAGAAAAGAACGGCAGAAACAAACCCTGAGCCTTCACCTTCCCATGTGCCTCCCGCAAAGCACCCAGCTTCGATGCCGCTGCCACAGTGAGTGTGGCCCGCAGGGTCTCCGTCCGCCCAGGGTTTGAATAGCTGAGCAGAGAAGGAGCAGGGAATGGATTTCATCCTTTCTACGGCCACGACTTGAAAGGAGTCTGGTTCCCAAGGAAAACAAGAAGCCAAGTTGCTTCAGCAAAGAATTAGCTGAAACCTAAGTAGGAACCAGATAAAAACATTTGGCAGTTAGGAGAAGGGAGGTAGCTTTCTGGTCTCTGTGTGGGAAATGAGGCGCTGTGGTGCAGAAGAGCTTTTGTGAGCAGCAACCACTAGACCCGGCGTTTATCCCGATGTCTGAGAGGAGCCAGTAGCCTGGACGACGTGTCTCGGGGGAGGACTCTGTCCCCAACCAGGGGTCTCGGGAGCTGTGCCTGCTCCCTGCGCCTGGGCCTCCCCCCTCCTTGCGCCTGGGCCTCCTCCCACCGGCTCTTTTCTTTTTTTTTTTACTTCAGACAATAATATTAATATGAAAGAAAAGAAAGAAAGTGAAGCCGCTCAGTCATGTCTGACCCTTTGGGGCCCCATGACCTGTAGCCCACCTGCCTCCTCTGTCCATGGGATTCTCCAGGCAAGAATACTGCAGTGAGTTGCCATTTCTTCTCCAGGGGATCTTCCTGACCCAGGGATCGAACCACGGCCTCTTGTATTGCAGGCAGACGCTTTACCGTCTGAGCCACCAGGAAAGCCTGATATTATATTAATATGAGTTCATTACAAAAATTCAGATACCAAGTAGCAGAAAGAAGAGAACAAAAACATCTGTTACTCCTCCGTTCAGAAATCGTCACCATGAGACTTCCCTGGTGGTCCAGTGGTTAGGGCTCTGTGCTCCCCATGCAGGAGGCCTGGGTTCCATCCATGGTCAGGGAGCTGGATCCCAGATGCTGCAACTAGGAGCTCGTATGCTGCAACTAGAGATCCCACATTCTACAGCAACTGAGACCCTGTGCAGCCAAATAAACTTAAAAAAAAAAAAAGGAAAGAAATCATCACTGTGAACCTATTGCCCCGTAAGTCAGGCAGCTGGCCAGTGGAGTCCCTGAGGTGTGTCCATGGCTGTGTTTAGAGCTGGGAAGCAAGACACACCCATCTGGGCTCTGCCAGAGCTTCCATTATAGTTCGGAGACAGGTAATCAACTTTAAAAAGAAGTAAAAACATAGTGTCAGACTGGGAAGTGCTCTGAGGACAAAGAAACAAAAGAAAGGGATGGAGATTTTCCTGGTGGTGGGGTGATGACTTGAAGTGGGATATTCAGAAAGTGCCATTTGATCGAGGACCTGAAGCCCATGAGGGAGCAAACTGCGTGGACATCTGAGGAAAGGCTTTTCCCTCCTCTTCTATTTCTTGTGCGTACATAGTAATGCAATTACACTTAAGCAATGTCTGACGACATGCTTGATGCTAAAAATATGAAACAATATGGAAACATACAGGTGCTAAGAGAGCGTCTTTCTCACCACCCATCACCTCCTCATCTCCCCAGTAAACACATTGACCACAGTGTATTCCTTTCCTGACCTTGGTCTCCGCATCACCTGTATTCATTTCTGTGTATCTCACCCATGCATTTCATTCCATTCTCTTCACTACATAAATGAGATTATCCTTTGTGAAGGTGCTGCCTTTTTATCTTCCACAGACAGTCTCTCCTAAATGTTTTCTATGCTTCAGAAATACAGGAGAGCCATGCTCACGCTCAGGAGCTCAGTCATGTCTGACTCTTTGTGACCCTGTGGGCTGTATGTGGTCCTCTAGACTCCTCTGTCCATGGAATTTTCCAGACAAGAATATTGGAGTGGGTTTCCATTTCCTACTCCAGGGGATCTTCCTGATCCAGGGGTTGAACTCAGGTCTCTCATATCTGTGGCATTGGCAAGTAGGTTCTTTATCACTGAGCCTCTGGGGGCTTCATATAAAAATGAAAGAGATATATTTCACGGCTGAATAAGGTTGGATGTTTCTCTTCCTCCCACGAGAGATTCATCTAGTATTCATTGCATTGTATTATAATACTTTGTTTCTGCCTGGACGGTCAGTTCTTCGTGGTCAGGGATTGTGCTTCTCCGTCCTGAATTTCCAGCGCCTGGCACAACGCTGAGTGTGTGGTGAGTGTTCTGTAAGTGAATGGGCAACTAATTACGCTTTCCCATATGACCGTACAAGGCTTTTCCAACATTGGATGGGATACAGGCTAAGATCAATGTTATGGTCTTTCCTAATGGGAGGCATTTACTACCCATTGAACAATCTGTGTCACAATTGGATATAACCACTCTGGCATGGCAACCAGGGGGCCTGGGGTCAGGACCTTCAAATCAAACAGTCCAGTGTTAGCTATGAGACCTACCTTTCATTCTCCTTACTGAAAGGAAATGGACATTTAATGAACACACAAGCATGCTAAGCACTTTACAAAACACTTTCTCATTCAAGGCACAGAAAGAACTCAGTGAGGTCAGTATTATTTTGCAGATCTGAGGAAAGCAAGAACCAAAGAGATTAATATGAGTATTATGTGGGCCCACTCACATACTCACAAACCACCATGCAGACTGATCTTAACATTTCCCCATATTTATTTTACTTTTAAAAATTTATTTTTATTTTATTTCTTAACACCAAAAACATTTTGTATTGGGGTATAGCCAATAAATGATGTTGATGGAACTCTGCTCAATGTTATGTGCCAGCCTGGATGGGAGGGGGGGTTTGGGGGAGAATGGTTACATGTATATGTGTGGTTGAGTCCCTTCGCTGTTCATCTCCCTGCATTTATTTTAAACTGTTTTTTCCATAAATAAACCATTATGTCCAATATACCCTGGAGGACCACGTTCGCACATTTAATGACCAAGCCTGGATGGCACATTTAAAAAGCCACTTACACAACTTTGTCACTTAGCAGACTTCATTCTTCTTTATTTATTTTGTGATGGATGTTAATTAGATCTATTGCTTTGATAAGTTCAAAATACATAGTCATCCCTGTATATCCACAGGGAGTTGGTTCCAGAACTCCCCTCACATACAAAAATCCATGGATGCTTCAGTCCTTCCTATAAAATGGAATAGTATTTGCACATAATGTACACACATCTGCCCATATGCTTTATTAATCTTGTTGCAGACTTTAACTGATCCTAGGCCTTGAGGAAGGAGCCCCTATGGATGCAGAAAGGAGCAAAGCAAGGTCCCAAACCAGAAGGAAGCTCCCTTTTCAGGGGGAGAGGTGAGGCAGATGCAGAAGATTTTAGAGTGGGGAAACAGCCTCGGGAAGGAAACGTGACTCTTGCAAGAGATAGAGTCAGGTTGAGAGCCCAGGGGCCCTATGCAGGTGGCCTCTGGAGCCTCAGGAGGGCCCTCCAGCCCAGCCCGGCCAGTTGCAGAGGGCGGGCCCTGAGTGCAGGCATCTGCTCTCTGAGGGGTCCCCGCCACACGGGAGAGAACCTGTGAGCGGGTGGTGGTTTTTTTTTTTCCCTCCCTCCACTAACTGACTTTTTGCTGCAAAGAATAAAATTCTCTTCTGGTGACACACATTTCCTGTCAGGATGAGGCACACCCAGCCGGTGGAAACCACCCAGATTAAACGAAGAAAAATCCTTTTAATTCCTCTAGGTACACATTTTTGGGTACACTGGATTGTTGCCATTTTCCCAGGGGCTATGCCAGAGGTGGATTTGAGGAACGGCGCATTAGAACAATACACTAAGAAGGGTAACCGGCACAGTGACATTAAATCATCCACTGATTAACGTCTCCCATTAAATCCCCGAGTTCTATAAAAGCAGTACTTGCTCACAGAAAGCTCGGAAGAATGATAAAAATCTGTGCTCTTTTTTATATAAAAACAAAACCCAAATCTATAATTTTCAGTCCCAGCAAACACTGTTAACATTCTGATGTGTACAGAAGAATATGTATATGCATTTTACATCCTGTTCTGTTCCCATAGCTTTATATTGGAAAACGTATCCTCATTAATTGAGTCCTGTACAACATAATTATAAATGATATGTAACATACTGCCATGAGGTTGCCTTATGGTTTAGGTGGTTAACGTATTTTTGGACACTCAAATTTCCACTCCCCCCACCCCCACCAATTTTTGGTTACTGTATTATGGCAACTGTGAACAGATTCCTGACTTTTTAAGAGACACTACTGATATATTATCTTATTCCCTCATCTTAAGATTCCAAAGTAGGCATTGTAGTGTTTTAGAAATGAAAGGACTGGGGTTCAAGGAAGGTAAGGAATTGTCCCAAAGACAGAGCCAGGTTTGGAGCCCAGGTCCTGCTGACTCCTGAGCCAGCCCTACCTATTATCGCATCTTGGGTGTGCTGACTCGACTTCACCGTGTTGAGTTTTTTGTCTTCACAGAGCATCAGTGCCTATGATGGAAGAATGTTCTGGTACTCTCTTTTGCCAAAATCTTAATCCTCATCTCTCCCCTTTCATGTTCCCATGGACACCTTGAACCCTTAGTCAGACGGAAGCCTTTCCAACGAGACGCTCTCCATTGGAAAGCGCCCAGGCCACAGCATTGCCGCCGTTGATGGCTCCCAACTGCTGCGCCGTATGTTCCGCCTCCACTTGCTCTCAGCTGTTCTCAGACAGGCTGTCCTCGAGGCTAATCAAGTCTCACATTGTAAAACAGAATCCTGACAGACTCACGAAAGCCTCACGGCTATTTGTGCCCCTTTCAGACTCACGTTTGTAGTCTCAGTGGTTTCCAACATCTAAAGTGCCCTCAGCAACTCAGCACATTTTTTAAAGAGAATTCTAAACTTAAAAAAAAAAAAATCAAGCTCAAACCAGACTTGTGTATGTACCCAATAGTCCAATTGACGGTTTCTCAGACGTTTGGAAACTTAACAGTGTTCAGATCCGAATTCTTGGGGTTCTCCTTTGAAACCTGTCTCCCGGTAGGTGGTGTTGGCTGTCTAGCCAGTAACCCGTTGCTGCTTCCTCCTTACTTGACAGAACCTTGATTTTGTTCAGGGATGGCGTGCCCAGACGAGGGATTGAACCGACTCAGGTCTAAGCCCTTCACAGCCATCTCAGCACCGGCCCTGGGCAGTCTTGCTCCTGGCTGCCAGATTAAAGGAGGTCTGTATATTCCAATAAAAATTTAAAAAAATTATACTCCAATAATAATAATAATAATAAAAACAGTAAGAAAGGAAGTCATCCAGAGAATTTCTAGACACACAGTCTCTGTGAGCTGAAAGGGAGGCTGTATTAGGCATTTCTCACGCAGCACTTCAGTTCATCTTGCCTCCTCTGGCCATCTCTGTGGCCATCAGTTACTTGCAAGATTCTACCAGCTTCCTTCTGCCCTGGGGGGATCCCAGCTACCCAACTGCCACCCAGTCCTAGATGCCAGTCCTCTCACATGAACGGCTTCCCCGGCTCCTGAACTGATCTCCTTTCTCCAACCCCTGCCCCTCCCGCAGTACATTCTCTGCGTCACAGCCAGAGTGAGCTGTTAAAAATATCATCGGAATCACGCCGATTCCCTGCTTCAAAACTTTCAAATAACCTGCATTAGACATCTTTTAAATTAACTAATTACTTTAGGTCGGGGTTAGGTCTCCGCTGCTCTGCACGGGCTTTCTCTGGTTGCGCCGAGCGGGGGTTCTTCTTCATTTTGGTTTTCCAGCTTTTCACTGCGGTGGCTTCTGTTGTTGTAGGGCACAGGCTCTAGATGTGTGGACTTCAGTAGCGGCAGCACATGGGCTCAGTAGTTGAGGTTTGTGGGCTCTAGAGCACAGACTTAGCAGTTGTAGCGAACAGTTTGACATGCTGCCCTTCAGAGACCAGGGATCGAACCCACGTCCCCTGAGCCAGCAGGTGGACTCGTATCCACTGCACCAGCAGGGAAGTCCTGCATTGTATTTTGAGTAAAGTCCAAACTTCTTACCACGATCTGCAAGACCTTGCATGATCCGGTCAACCTGTCCACATCTCCATCCTTTGCTTGATCTCACTTTGCTCTTTTCCAGACGGTCCGTGAGGGCTTCTGTGTTTGGAACCTTCAAGTGCAGATCCTCCTGCCCGGTTCACTCTTTGCCTAGTGCTCCACATGGCTGGATCCTTTCTGTCAGCCAGGTGTCAGTTTTCACGTCTACCTTCTTAGAGGAGCCCTCCTTACCACCTAGGATTAAGCGAGTCCCCATTCTTCTTCTTTTTCTCCTGACTGCTCTGGGTCTTCATTGCTGTGTGCAGGCCCTCTCCAGTTGTGGCAGGTGGGAGCCCCTCTCTAGTTGCGGTGCACGGGCTTCTCACTGCGGTGGTCTCTCTTCTTGAGGAGCCTGGGCTCTAGGGTGCCGGCCCAGCTGCCCCACGGCATGTGAGATATTCCCAGACCAGGGGTTGAACTGGTATCCCCCGCATTGGCAGGCGGACCCCTAACCGCCAGACCACAAGGGAAGTTCCCCCGTTATTCTTTATGCCACGTCGCCGGTGTTTTCTCCATAGCTCCCTGGTACGTTGTTACTGCATACTTATCTTTTGTTCACTCTTAAATTGCTCATCTCCCCAATCAGGTTAGAATCTTATCGAGCAAAGGCCAAGACTTTGGTCTTCAGTATTTACTTGGGTCCTTGTACTATGCCTGCCTTAGAATATGTACTCAATATATATTTATTGAGTGAATGAATAAATCGTGATAATTATATCAGTTGCTGTTGAATAAGGTCCTTACTTGGGTGTTCAAATCCTGCTCTGTCATTGATTAGCTCTGTGAGCTTACACAAGTGTCTTTACTTCTCTGTACCTCTGTTTTCCCATCTTAACTGGGGATAATGATAGTACCTAGTTGAGCTGTCAAAAGAACTAAATTATTTACTATTACATGTGAAGTGAAGTGAAGTCACTCAGTCATGTCTGACTCTTTGCAACCCCATGGACTGTAGCCTGCCAGGTTCCTCTGTCCATGGGATTCTCCAGGCAAGAATACTACAGTGGGTTGCCATTTCCTTCTCCAAATGATTAGCTGGTCTTTTTATCTTTGCCAGGAAACTAAGGCCCAAGAAGACTAGAGGCATATAGCTAGTAATTGGCAGCCTGGAATTCCAACCAACTGGAAATGCAAATTAACAAAGACATCTCCACTTTAGTGGAGGTGCAATTATGAAATTTTTTGAGGGGAAGGTTACTGATGGATGTTATTGAAAGTGTCTGCCACCATTGCAATTCTTTTGCCAATTGTTTGCTTCTAAATGCTTTTGAAAGCATAATCAGATGGCACTTTTTTGAAGGATATTCACATAAAAATGGGAACAGATAATGGCTTAATATAATTACATTTAAAAAGTTATATGGTGCATGATTGTGAAATTTGTGTGTGGACAAAGATCATGGGAAGGCAAGTGGAATGCTGTGCAGGCATCTATAGATGCAGAGCGATCTGGGCTGCCTCACTTCCCACTCACTTTCTTTCTTTATTTTAATATTTATTTTTTTATTTGGCTGCACTGAGTCTTAGCTGCAGCTCTTTTCACTGTGGCATGTGGGGTCTAGTTCCCTGCCCAGGGATTGAACCCTGGCCCCTGGCATTGGGAGCGTGAAGTTTCAGCCACTGGACCACTAAAGAAGTCCATCCCACTCCCATTTACTTTCTAACCCTGTCCAACCTGGCTTCTCCAACCTTCACTGAAACTGCTCCCAAACATCACCAGTGATTTTCCAGTTTCCAAATCCAATTGGAGCTTTCTGGGCCTTGGATTACTGATTAATGAAGGCAGCTGATATTATTAACCACACCAACCCTCAGCCTCAGCGGCATCGCCACTACCACCTTCCTGATTCTCTGATGTCTCCTACTGTCTGAGCCACCTTGCTTCTGAATCTCTCCACATCATCCCCATGTTCAACTCTGGCCTCCTTTCCTTCGCTTTCCCTGTCCTGGGAGAACACCCCCAGAGATGACTGCATCAACTCTTATCAACCTACATCCCTAACCAGAACTTTTGACATTTCAGTTTGGACTCAAGTGCTGGCCAAGATATGACCTTTTCTTTTCCTATAATGGTCGCTGCTGTGAACGCTTGTCCTCTTTCCCTGGGTATCTTATTGCAGCATCTGGACTCATCTCTTTATCCCTACTCTCACCTCTAACCTGTTCCCAACACTCCTGTGCGGTACTTTCTAAAATGCTTAAATCTGAGGTTCCACTTCTGATAATGGCAGAGTTGATCCTGTAAGAACGAGTTTTCCATAAATAACAACCATGAGTTATAGACAAAAATATAAGAACTAGTCATGGGGAAGCACTTAAAGAGTAACCAAAAGCAGACATGGTGGACAAGAGTCATGCTTGGAAGAATGAAATGTCATGTGTGAGTTTCACATTTTTTACAGATTTTTGCCTGAGGGAAAACTCCAGTCAGTACTCAACTGGGCAGCTAAAACTCGGAGAGAAGCATACATTCTCAGCAGTTAGAAGACTCTGAGGAAAGCTTTTGGGTAACCCTAGCAGCTGTAAATTGGTGGGGAGCAGGGGCAGGGGAGACCAAAGAGAGGAGAAAGCAACTTCAGAACTCATCATGCAGTCATCCACACCTATCACTTTTGGATCCTGTTATTTCTAAAATAATTTACTCTTCTTATTCCTTATTATAAAAGTAATGCATAGGACATTAAGAAGATATAGGGGAACAAAGGTAAAAATAATTCATTATTCAATAGTGATTCACTGAACACCAATTACATGCCAAGAATAATCCTTGGTCGTGGGAGCACAGCCCTAAAAAAAAAAATCTTTGCACTCACTGTAGTAGGTGAGTCACACAAGAGGAAAATAAACAAATAGATGTGTAACCTAATACCCAAGGTGGGAATTACAAAAAAAAAAACAGTGTTTCTGGACAAGATAGAGCAAGAGAGAGAATATTTAGAATGCTGCAAGTGGGTACTTACAGGAAGCTTTTTTTTTTAATTGAAAAAAATTTAGCTCTTTTTAGATACTTTAGGAATGACCTTTAAGTTGCAAAGGTTAAAGATATAAATATTTTTCATTAGGCATCTCATTTATTGTTAAGTGTGTTTTATTTTTTATCCATAAAAGGTTAAAATATATCCAACAAAGTTTCAGTCTATGGCTGGATATCTCTATGGAGCCAAACAATATTTGATCAATTTTTCAAAACCCTGAACTGACTCATTGTTTTGGTGTTGTTTAGAGTACCAACTTACATCTCTGTCATTGGGAGATGGCACAAGGTATTATTACTATCAGAGAACTGTAACGAAAAGTGATCTTCCAACATCTGTCATCTCCCTTTAGTCTAATGAGATAATGCCATTATCTGCTGATGAAATGCTGTTCTATGAAACCTTGCCCTGTCGCGCAATTTCTGCAGATCTTATAGGGGCAGTCTGAGCTCAAGTGATATTAATTACTATTCCATCTCTCCATTTATCTCAGTAATTAATCATGTATTTCAATGATCTTCTCTATTTCCTGTGGGTTATATAAAAGTTACCTTGGAGACTAACTTAAAACAGTCAAATTTGGGGGTAATTTTTTAGTTGAATGTGCACTTTACTGAAGAAGCCTGTATTTAGATTCCATTTTGAAAAGCGCATATATGAATAGGCCAGTGCACAGCATACTATGGACATAAATACAATCGCGCCTTTTAGCAGACCTGCACTAGATTATTCATTTTATTTCTTCATGCTTACCTTTTATTTTTTAAATGTTGCTTTTGCTTTATTTGCGTTACAGGGTCTGTGGTTGCCTGTGTGTGTGTGGCTGTGCTGAGTCTTCACTGGGGCACACAGGCTCACTAGTTACAGTGTGGGGGTTTCTCTAGCTGGGGCGCATGGGGCTTAGGTGCCCTGTGGCATGTAGGTTCTAACCGGAGTCCCCTGCATTGGAAGGCAGATTCTTCACTAGCGGACCACCAGGGAAGTCTCTCTTTATGTTTACGTCTTAAATGACTACTCTGTATTTGGTTTCATCAATGGTTGAAGAGGGAAGAGCACGCGAGATACCTAACACATAGGACAGGGAGCAGACAGTCCTCAGCATGGAGTGATGGGATGGACTTC